GTTTTCAATCTTCAAACGGATCGTACTATATGATCTCGTTCATACAATATAATATTTGAAAATTTGTTTATCCTTCTAATTAGTTAATCAAATCAAGGGGTTAATTAATATAGTCGACACTGTTATACAATTTTTAGATCATAATGTATGAAGCATGTTCGTCATGATGATCTCCTTTGGCAAAACCTTGATTTTTGAACTAGACATATTGTACGATACCAATCGTCCATATGGCAGCTAGAGACAATTTTCAATCGTCCTGTATGATCACATAAAAATTAAATTTATTGTGATGTACACTCTAGTATACATAATTTGCACAGTTCATCCCAAGGCAGTTCCATCATATTGTACAATATCTAATTATTAAACTAATCGTATTGTACGATCATCGATTGTACTGTACAAGCAGCAACAGCTCAATTGAAATTTTAGAGTTTTTGGAGACCTTATAAAAAAATATTTTATTCTTTAGTTTAGAGAGAGAGACTTTAGTTGTTGAAGGTATTCTGAGAGAGTAAAGAGAGATCTTGGAAAGTGGAGAAGGAGAAGGTGAGGTTTTATGAGAGGGAGTAGTGTTGGAGTTTCACATGGTTGCTCCAATCAAGCTTGCAGCTTGATTCCTCCATAGGGCTATGTGGATTTGCTTAGGGTGCTTTAGGAAAAAAGGCTTCAAGGTCAAAGGTCGATGTTCTCAACCTTCACCGGGAGGGTGAAAAAGGATTGCAAGGCACTCTACCTTCACCAAAAGGGTAAAAAAGCTTTCAGGTTCGCCACCTTCACTAGGGAGGTGAAAAGAGCTTCCAGGGTTCTCTGTCTCACCAGGAGAGTGAGAAGGATTCCCGTTTTTCGCCTCATAGGGTTGGTGGAAGTGATTATTGTAAGAGCTTCTCTACCTTATTATGGGGGATAAAGGAGTGGCACTAAGAGTTAGTGCAATATCTTGAGTGGAGGACTTCAGGGGGTGGACGTAGGTCATTGTTTGACCGAACTACTAGAAAATTATGGCATGCTCATTATATTTTTTATTTTTTGCATTTAAGTTTTCTCCAATTTATTTTCCTAAAAATTAAATGTTAAAAAATTTGGTGTTGTTGTTATATTGATTTGATTGAATTATCATCCCCATTGTTGTAATTGTTATTTAGTTAATTTGCTTGCATATCGGATTATAAAGTTGTTTATTTTAAGTTTTTGAATAACTTCAAAAAGATTTTTTTTTTTATTATGTTAACAAACTTTTTTAAATAACCAATTGCCCCCCCCCCCTCTCTTAGAGTGCTTGGGGACAATTCAACGAGGTTTAACATCCTCTATTAAACTTTCATGGGCTTTTGCCTAGACATCATAAGACTTCCGCTCAACTATTAGATTTCCGCCCAACTCTCCAAACTATTGTAATCCCATAATCTCTTAGTTAAGGGACATATCAGCCTTTATAATTCACCTAAAGGTAGGGGAATATTTTCACCTGGGCGAGGCTCAGTGATTTTTTCCCCTTCGGGTTCCACATAAAAAAAAAGATTTGGTGTTTTATAGCTCTCTCTCTCTCTCTCTATCTCTCTCTCTCTCTCTCTCTCTCTCTCTCTCTCTCTCTCTCTCTCTCTCTCTCTCTCTCTCTCTCTCACGCACACACACACTCACACATCTCTTGTTTGTGTGTTAGATATTCATGCATTACTAAGAAAAAAAATTCACTTACTCTACAATCGTGAGTATTGTAGCCCGTAACACTTATTTATATGTATTTAATATTTATTTAAAAGTTTTAAAATATAATATGTATATTACTTTATTAAGTTTAGTATTATATTTATTATTAACTTAATTTATTTAACTATTTAAAAAATACTTGAATCGGACTATCTTAGAAAACCTGGACTGGTTCACTGGTTGAACTGCAATTTATGTCAATTAGACTCGAGTTGATGCAACGTGATTCTTAAGTTGGATGAAACCGACCATTTGACCGGTTCACGATTAAATCAGATGAATTGGCCGGTCTAATTTGATATTTAAAATTATGGATAATACTAAAATAATTGATATGACTGGTATGTACTGAAATGTGATAGTTAGAGATGACAATATTTAACATGACTCAAAACCTAACTTGGACCCGACCCAAAATTTTTTAAGTTTCACTCAACTCGTTTACGAAATGGTTCGGGTTTGGGCTGACCCAAAAACTTGAAATCAACTTGAAACAAACCAAGGTCGCATCTGCAAGCGAACAGACCCCACTGCACTCACTCACTTGCATGCTTTGTGCTTTAGTTCGCATGGGATCGAGCCTCCCACTTTGCGTGTTGCATTCGCACGAGCACTCACGCCTGCACTTGTACTTGCACATGTACTCGCAACCTGTGCACCTTCAGGACCACCCATTGCTTCGCAGCGTCTGCACTTGCAAACAAATCAGTTCGTCTTGCGTGCTAGCAGACAAGATGCCACACCCACACCATTCATCTCTCATGCTTACGAACACGAGCCACGTGGGGTCAAGTTAGGTCAACCTGATAACCCGTGTGGGTCGAGTTTGGCTCTAGCCTTTGGGCTTATTTACCAAAATCGATTAGGTTCAGGTCAACCGAATTAAACCCAAGTCAACTTTGGGTTTGACCCAAACCCAACCTGAATACCCATTTTAACACCCCTAGGTGATATTGATATGACTAAGAGGATACTGATTGATATCACATATATGAAATGTTATGTCCCACATGATAACCTCAAGTTTCAATGATTCATTGATGAGAGTTATAAGGAGCTGAAGATTGATTTGGACTTATAAAACGTTAGGGATATTGATCCACATGATTTAAGGGGAGTTATAACGAGTGCACTGATTGTGACTCATAAGGGGTGATTGATTGAGAGTTATAAGTGCATGAGCAAGATCAAGATACTCTCAATTAAATATTTGATATATAGATATTGGTTAGTGATGTTGATACTAATTAATGAAAATTGATACATATTATTGATATTAATTACTGAGTACGTATATTGATATTGTACAAATGTTGATACCATGACACTGATTACTGTCATAACATTAATATATATTTGGTTATATGATTCAAAGTATATTATTTCTCTTTTTCATTTTATTGATTTTAGTTGTAAGATTTTAATACTTGTTTGACTATTTGCTCATTATGTGATTTTTACATTATTCCAGAAAAGGGCAAGGACCTTGTGGCATGAGGCCCTCAACTGTATGCACAGTTTTCTTTCTTCACCACTAGTTTAGTTTTATTTCAATTTATTATTGTATATATTATTTTGGACCATGAAGAATAAATAAAATGTAAATTTTGATTATAGTAATTTGAATTATATTTTTATGTTATTTATATTTATTTAATGCAATTAATCAGCTTTGGATATCAAATTAATCTGATTGTAAATGAATGAATATAATGAATTGAAAAAAAATATAATAAAAAAATGACATATAAAAAATCAGACAATACCTGAGAAAATCACATTTTTGTTAATATATTTTTATAAACTTACTTAACTTGAAATCATAGGCAAGGGTTTTGGAGTCTACCTTGAGCTCTATAATATCCCAAACTGGCCCAATGGACAAATAACCAAGTTTTCTCCTTTGAATCTCTCTCCCTTCCTTTTCTCTTTCCTTTTATCCTATTTTTTCCTCTCTTTCTTTGAAAAGGTTGGTGGAATGAGTTTTGGTAAAATGAGTTTAGATATTTTTACTATTTAAAAACCACTATCTTAACTTAGTGTCACGACACCCAATTTCCTAGCGCCATTGCACTCCAGAGAATATTTCAGAATAATCTCACTTGAGACCCGACGTCGCGACTGTGCATCTCTGGCAGCACAACGCATGCCCAAATATTTTTTTGTCCAAAAAAACTTGTGAAAGCTGAATGTCGAGGCGCCGTCCACTTCGATGGCGTCAGAGTCCGCAGAGAAACTTTCACACATTGGATTTTCAGTCCTTAGATCCCAAACGTTGGTCACTTCCTACCATATTCAACATTCTAAGACTCATACTTACTAATTAACTTAAAATTAGTGAGCATTCAAAATATATTACACCTAGCTTCCACACATTATCCCTCTCATAAATGCTTTCTCAAAGTTTGTATGCTTGAAGCTATTGGTAGTTTGGCACCATCCTAGCAATTATCTAGCAACCTATCTCTTCTAACTATTTTCACAAATTCCTCTAATGCAAATGCTCTAAGATCCAATACATAGATTAGGGAAAACTAGCAACACCAAAAATTGTGTTATTCCCTCCAATATTTAACCTAATTGAGTATCCCTCATTTTTATTAAAATCAACCATTTTCAATAAAATTTGATAAATCAGTGCCCTAGAAAATTATAATTTAGGAGTTTTGAATAACATGTTCAAGGGGGATCTCTTAACTTTGATCATTAGATCAATAGCTTCAACTAACTTACTACTTTACATATTATACTCCAAGTTGTATATTTAACCTAAGAAGTGTAAAATATATATACATGCATAGTAAAATATTATAATTTTATTGAACTTTATTAAAATTTTATTTAAATTGTGTTCCTTGCTCAAATCTTATTTCAACAATCCTGATTTTTTTTTTCAAATTTTAATCCAATATTATTTAAATCTTATTAAACCTTTTTAGCAAACCTGAATTTAATAAATTATAAAATTTTGGTTAAATGAAAATCAAAGAACAATAAAAAAAAAGAGAGATTTACTTACATACCACTTTATCTAATGTTATTTATATATCTAACATCCAAAATTTTAATATTACATGATTATCACTTATATAAAATTTTAATATCAAATATATCACTCATACATTTCATTATTACCACCCATACCATCTTATAAATTTTAATATTTCATTACATGTATAATATTTGTTCTATGTATGATTGACATGTAATATTAAAATTTTAAATATTAATATATAAATAACATAAAATAAGGTGGTTAAAAAATAAAAATAAAAACCGCATCTCAAATGCGTAGTCTACTTCGCGCAATCAGTCTCACCGCCATTTCCGCCCATAGATCTCCGCTGATGTCCTCTTACCGACTTCCCGTAGGCTCACCCCTTCGCCGTTCCATCCTTTCCGTCCATTACCCGCTGCCCTCCCATTGAACTCACCGCCAACTATCGCCGATCTGCTGGACGTTATCTCCCGTCGTACTCGCCGCTCGTCGCACTGATACGCCGCCCGTCCCGCTGAAGTGCTACCCCTCGAATTGTGCGGTACGAAATTCGTCTCGTTTTGGAATCAATAGTTTGCTTTATATCATTTGGTAGCTGGGCATTATGCTGATTAGACTGTATTTTGTTGGACATTACATAGGTATTGTATTAGTATGTGGTGAGTTTTTTTTTTCTTTGATCTTAGGTCTCATTTGGTTCCTTCTAGTTATAAAACGTTGATCCCTCTTTCACTAATTTTGAATCTGAAAACGACATAATAATTTTTACAAGAGTTTTTGAGGAAATTTGTGATTTTTGGAATCGTTGTTAGTTTTAAATGCATTCAACTAATTGATTAATTTGCTAATCATATTTTTGAATTTTTGGCAAACAAACAAACCCTTATGATATACTTATTATATTTAGTGTTGCGATGGAATCTTTTGTGGACACTTTAATTTATCATTTGCTTCATTTTATTGGTTTTAAAGCTTGTTTTTCTAGTTTCCAAAATGTTTAATTGTGTTGCTCCAACACAATTTATGGATATAAATCATATTATCTGGAGCGTTATTATTAGATGTTATGAGTTTCGCTGAGCAGCTTGCGGTGGGAATTAGGTTTTTTGTAATCATTAACTGGCCATTTAATGAAATTTAACAGATTTCATCATCCTCTCATCAAGAGAGTAAAAAATCATATTTTATTAGTTTTTTCACTTCATTCATATACCACTTTTATTTTTTTGAGTTACACTTCAATGTAACTTTTGTTTGACTAGCATAATTATAGTAGGTTAAATTGAAGTTGATTGTTGTGATAGACATGTTTTAATCTTAAAATAAATGCAGGTAACAAATAACTATATAGATGGCTGAAAGTTTCATCCATGTAATAAATATCTATTTGCCCTTTATTGGGAAAAAATATGATTAAACTTATATTTAATTGGTTTCCTTACCAGGCTTGTTAGGCATCACAATTGTAGAGGGATAGTTGAATTTTATGGACTAAATAATAAGCAAGATCAACCATTTATTTTTAAAAAGGAGAACAAAAAAGCAATTAGATTTAGGTTGATTTGGTTTTCCTCTATATAATCAAGTTATATATTCAATATTGGTTAATACGATTTAGGAAGGCAATACTGAACAAAGGACATTTGAATGCAATTAAATTGATATTTTTTAAATAAGATGAAATAAATATATCATTTGAATTATAATTTTTTTGGTAATTAAAATAACATGCAATTGGTACACATGCATTTTTGCTAGAATTATGAAAAGCCTTATCTAAGCATTCAAAGGTCCTTGTGAATATTACTATCATTTGGTCAAACATTGGTTGGCGTTGAATTTAGATTCAAATTTGTGCTATTCAAAGTACCATATTTGAGAAGACCAAGAAGTATGATTGCATGTTTGATGGCCCTCTTGATTGGTGGTGAAATGATGATACCCATCTCCAGGTAGATTAGTGGCGAACAAGCTTTTTGTACCTCTTTCTATTGTTTATCTACACCATTATGCATTTGTAGATCTATTGAGATCAATGAGCCTCTACATAGTATGATGATGCTTGCTTTATATCTTTCAATTTATTTATTTATTTAATTTGGACCAAACTTAGAGTTAGATTAAAAGGAGTTTTTATGACCCATATCCCTCTAGGAACGGCTTGTTTTTGCATCGGGCTTTTCCAGGGTGATTTTTGTGACATGAACCTTCGTGGGATGGTTCTATTTATCCTATACTTCTCTAGGAGGGATTTTTATAACTTGAGAATGTTGACCACTAATCTACAACCACTAACCCACAACCTCTCTCCCTCGTTCTCTATTTTCCTGCACGTAGGAACCGCCTCAGACAAAACAGCTATCTCCCTCATATTTTCACCAAGCAGCACGCCCAAAACCCCCCAAACTGCTCGCCCTCTTTCACTCTCTACTTACTGCATGCAAGAATCGAACTCGAAGGCACGCGCTTCCTCTTAGTTCATTCGAACTCACGCACATAGGAACCCCAACCAAAGCCTTCTTTCCCTCTTGATTTCTCTGTACTGCATGCTCATAGACAGTAGAATCCCGCCCAACATCCCTTTCTTGTGGCTGTACGCAAGGAAGAAGCATTCACCTAACTCCCTCTCTCTTGTTCACTTGATCGCACATACAAGACCCAACAAACCCGCTCGTCCCTCTCCCGTGACTCTGAACTCACTCGTGCGTCTAGCCTCCCACACTAGCATCCAAGTGTCTCCGTTGTTACTCAATCACTCGACTTGATTGATCCCCGACCCTACTTAAGCCTCACGCTCAATTCAATCACCCAACACAACCCCACACATCGTTGTCGCTTCCACCACCAGCTCGTGCACATGTCTAACCCATTGTCAATCTCTAATCATATCACCCCAGCCACTCGACCTGTTGCTGTTGTCATCACTCTTTCTTCAGTAAAATGTATAAAATTCTCTCTTTCTTATTTCAACAATAGGCACAAAAGAGCCCACGTTCATTGTATCTTTGATCTGGCCGGGAAGAACAAAATACGGCCTTGCAGCCATAATTTGGGGTCGATCTCAACTGGTTGCAATTGTTTCATAAGGTTGTCTTTTTGCACATGCCTAGGACCTTCAATGGGGCTGCCCATTTTTGTGCTCAAAGGGCTTTACAATGTAATTTTGTTTGGCTTTTTGAAGATAGGGATAGGTATACTGATCCACGAGAGTTTTTTGATATCCTAATGGAGGATATGAGCATACATGTTTATAGCCCTCTTTTATAATTTCCCTTTCTTAGTTTAATTATATATGCAAAATTTTAAGGGAAGAACAAAAAACAAATGCCTACCCGATGACTCCAACACAGGGGATACGACAGGAGGTTGCCAAAATTTTGAATGACAGATAATATTAACATAATTAAATTTAAAAAAATAAATTTTAAACAAAAAAGAAAAATGAACGGAATGATTTATTAATTTTAATCTTTTGTCAAAATACTCATCCGTTGCAAAGTCCAATGATCATGATGATATTAAGACCAAACTATCTATATGCGATGATGTAAAATAAATTTGCAAGATGTAATTCCAGGATGCATAGACTAATTGAAAAGACACGAACAAATTACCATATTAACAATAGAAATTAAATGCATTCAGAAGTCATATTTCATTACCATAAATCAATTCATGCAAGTTACATGATAATTAAAAAATTGAATTAAGGCTAATTCGTATAATGCATTCTACAAAAAGCAGGGTCTAATATCTTGCTGTAATTCACTTTCAATATGAAGATGAGATAATTAACTCAGGTGTATTAAAAGATAGATGAATTTGCAAATTAACATAAATTTAAACGTTTTTTTAAGCTAATGATTATATAACCTTTAGAAGCAAATATTTGTTATCATATGTGTCATATAGATAAAGTCTTTAATATTAAAACAACATAGCAACATGCCAACATGGAATAAGTGTTAAAGTATCATTGAGTTTTTATTTTTATTTTTTATATGGTTTATGAAAGATAGCTATCATATCTCCAAAAAAGATATAACCCGTAGTAAGCAACCAATTTGGCCCAAGGCAGTTAGAGGATGTACGGAAGGTTTTTGAGTGGCTATCTGGGTAGTGCATAAAAAGAAAACTTTGAAAGGCAATAAGGGTTGTAGTGGTTGTGGTAAACAATGATAGTGATGGCTAGGCAAGCATTAAGAAGCAATGGTATGATAGGAGTGCAAACATATTATATGTATCAATGTAGTGCACATGATTGAAGGTTGATCATTGGAGAAGTAGGATAAAAGTTATGACATATAAGATTCAGGATATGTTGCAAAGTAGGATATGAGAAAAAGCACGACATTTAAATTGATGTGAAGCTAAGGGACCATGAGGAGATTGTGACGGGCCGAGTCTTGTGCAAGAGCAAGCATACAGGGTAGTGAAAATTTTGTAGCAAGAAGAATGTTGCTAGTTAAAGAGAGTATGAGAGGTGACCAATATTGTAGGTCATGAGCAACTAAGACATGAAAATATGAGATGTGAAGGCATTGTTAGGAAGCACATAACCCATCAATCACTAGGGTGTTTTCCTTCCAAATGATTGCTCGCTATCCATGATCTTGAAAATTTAGATTGATAATTTATATGAAACATAATTGTGCGCTACATTTACAAATGACATTAAATCATTAATTATGAACATGACTTATGTGTAATCTATGATTTTAACATGCATAACTATGCATTTTACATGAGAGAAAAATAACATGTTGACATGCACATTAATAAATATGCAAAATGCATAATATAAAGTGTCTTACAAGTGCAAAATACGTTATGCAAAGTTCCGCATGTGCTCCGATCTATACATTAAGCTAGTAAATGCGAGATATGAGAATGCTTCGTGAATTGCTCAAAGTGCTCAAACACCCTGATGATGGTCGCGTTGAATATAAATCTCGACTGGAGGGGTCAATTCTCAAAGCCTATTAAAATTTCAAAATCTAATATCTATTAAAATCTAAATGTTTAAATAAAAAATTAATCATTTAAGGGCTGTTTGGTACCAAGAGTTAGGAGGGTAAAGTAATGTAAAAACGTGCATTTCTTAAATTAAGATGTTTGATTTATTTAGAGCTGGAACATAAAGAATTCATTCGAAGAATTAGGGGTGTATTGCGGACCCCGATTGTGCGACTTCCAAACCTGCTCAAATTGAGCGGGTTAGAAATTCTCGCCCCTGACAATCAGCCTTGCCCGATCGTTTCTCCGAAAAAGAACTTATAAGTTCTCTCTTATTCTCCATTCTTCCCACTCTCTCTTCGGCTCTCTACTCCGAACATAAGTTCTGATTCACTGCAGGAGGAGAACCCCTGTTTCGCCGTATCCATTTGCCGCAGCCAAGAGACCTGTTCATCCCTTCGCCGTCCGCACATCGGAACCAGACCCATTGCCGACTCCTCTTGCTTCCTTCGTGACCTGTCCGCCCTCCTCTGCACCAGGTATTTCAATTCATTTCAACTCAAGGGGATTGAAGCTTATATTTACCTAATTGGTCCTCTATCCGCTTGAATGATTCGCTGAATTGAAGCAGTTTTGAGCAAGGTTTAAAATTGCGTAATTAAGCCTCGAGGCGGTCTGAGGCGTAAGCCTCACGGACACAGAATTGCGTAAATGAGAAATTAAGGGTTTTAGCAGGTAAATAATAGCAATATTCTATCATACAATAAAAGCATCTAAATGATATATGAAAATAGTGGAAAGTAAATAATAGATGCAATAAAATCATGTCCCAAAGTACAAAATCATAAAATATTAGTTTAACAAAACTCCCAAAGTACGAAGAACATATAAAATGCAATCATATCCCATTACTAAATGGGTCTTCAAGGGAATCTTCTTCTCCAATTGTATCTATTTGGGAGATGTTCATGATCCGGCCCATAAAGGTAAAACTCACAGCTTTTTTCTTAATGGGCTAGACGTCGACATTTTTTTAACTCCTTAGAGCTTTCTAAAAACATCATTTAATATGACATTTTCATAACTATAAAACTAGTGAGTTCTATTTCAATTTAGTTTTATGAAATTTAAACATCTTATTCATTTGCTGCAGTCTAAGTTCTTTTTCCGTTGAATCCATATTGCTGTAGTGCTTTTTGTTCACTTATTTATATTGCTAAAATAAGATTCATATTTGACATTGTTAACTTGAGTTTGATGGTCGCATCTTTGCCATGGCTTACAGGCGTGGCACGTATGCAGGGGTGGATAGCTGGGTAATTTGTGTGCTAGCCCAAATCCAAATTGATACCCTCCCTCACTAAATTACTTGACCTGATCCAATACCTGAATCCTTCCAGGTATGTGCTACATTAAGTATTGAGGGAATAACTAGTTGGTTTTTTTGAGAAGAAAATAACTAGTTGGTTGATTTTAGGGTGCTAGGAGAGAGAGAGGGGTGTTGGCAGGGTCATCAAAAGTTCAATACATCCATGTCTTTTTATTGTTTGTCAAGATAGCTGTGAAGATACAATTGCATTATTATGGGAGCATCCTGCGCCAATATCTCACATCTCTTTGTGTGTATAGAACTTCCTGCAGTGCTAAGAGATGTTCATGATCTGGTCCCAACGGGAAGGAAATTTTCGGGAGAACTGGAGCTGTGCGGGATTAAGGAGGAAAAATTCTTCATTTTAAGTGGGTGGGCGCCCGTTCCTATGAGGCGTACGCCTCTGTCAGAATTGCGCAATTGCACCTCTGAGGCGCGCCTCAGTCCAAGTGAGGCGTACGCCTCTGCCAGGGGTGAAGTTGACTTATGTGTAATATATGATTTTAACATACCTAACTATGCATTTCACATGAGAGAAAAATAGCATGTTGACATGTACATTAACAAATATGCAAAATGCATGATATAAAGCGTCTTACAAGTGCAAAATACGTTATGCAAAGTTCTGCATGTGCTCCGATATTTACATTAAGCTAGTATATGCGAGATATGAGAATGCTTCATGAATTGCTAAAAGTGCTCAAACACCCTGATGATTATCGCGTTGAATGTAAATCTCGACTAGAGGGGTCAATTCTCAAAGCCTATTAAAATGTTAAAATCTAATATCTATCAAACTCTAAATGTTTAAATAAAAAATTAATCTTTTAATAACTTAAAACAAAATTTATTCACTCTATGTAATTATTTGACGATGTTGATAAATTTAAGAATAACTTTAGCTCGTAAAGATTATGTCTTATTGAATATATTACTATAATTCATTCTCAATTGATTTCTCATCAGCAGGGATGTGACATGTGCCCTCTGACTGGATAAGTTTGTCACAAAATGACACTGTTATATTACGGTCATGATCAAAGCCCGTATGTTCCTTAATGGTTAAAAGCTCCATTGAGTAATAAATTATACGGTGCACTATTTAAGATATAAAGTCCTTTGTTAGCTAAGGTTGACTTAAGTTCACCCCCTTAGACAAACATTCACCTTATGTCTACAAGGTATCCTTGGACGAAACAACTCATGGCTTCCGACAAGGTTCCTTCTATTACGTTGAGTTGACTTCCTCCTCTGACCAAGTAGTAACCTAAGGACCATGATATCTCAAGACGACCGAACAATGGGATATTGATCGGGCCCATCTTCATTCCCCCATTGCCCACTCTAAGCATATGGCGATTAATTTTAAATCATAAACTCAAAAATCTAATACCAAATTTAAACCCTAGTAATTATTGTGACCTATTTAAACGACTAGCCTTAATCGAAAGTGTCAAAATGGGTTTTCGGGTAGTTCAGATCCAGCTTGAAACTAACCAGCCTTCAATTAATACAACTTGAATCTAGTCTAATTCGTCAAACGGGTTAGGAATTCAAACCTGGGCTTAATCTGTGGGGTTATAAAATTGACATGACTTGACTCGCTAACCCGGATTTCGAGCAAAGTAGCAGGCCTACGAGGGTGCGGACCATAGGGCCGAGCTTTGGTGCGAAATGCGCGACACGAGCGAGCAAGGGTGATTCAAGGGTGTAAGTTGTGCGACTTGAGAGTGAGTGCGGAGTGCGAGCTCAGGTGTAAGGTATGAGTGGGGGTGCTGGGTGCGGGTGTGGATGTGTATGCAGTGTAGCTGAGCTTATGCGAGTGCGGGAACATGGGTGCACAACCGGAATTGGGTCAACACTGGGTTAGTGGGTTGACCCGGACCCGACCCGATTTTTCAAATAGATAATGTTTGTTAACTGGGTCGACCCGAATCTAGATTTTCCTGGTCATGTTCAGGTCGGGTTATCTAGTCATGTCAATAATTAGCACCCCTATGCGTTCATGGGAAACCATAATTTAGATCATAAAAGTATTTGCAATATGAGGGCAAAATCTTTGAGTTGTGTCTTATCTAAAATCTAATATGCCTTTTGAAAAGTTACCTGAAACCTAAATTCATTAAAACTCTCCTCGTCGACAGAAAAAAAACACGAAGAAGCCTGGGCACGAATTTTCGGAGCCCACAGAGATTTTATGTTATCCAGGATTCTCTAGGAGGGATTTTTTTGGCCCAAAACTTCTTGGGATAATTTTAATAAGCTAAGCTGCTTTGGGAGAGATTGGCCATAAGATGGTTTTTTTTGTACCATGAACTTCTAAGGGGAAATTTGTTTTGAACAAGATTTAACTATATAGTATTTTATTGTAATCCAGAAGGGGTTTTTATGATCGCAACCTTCTTCGGTTAATTTTTTATGACTAAAAACTTCTTCAAGAGTAATGTTTTGTGACCTAGACCCACCATATTGTTTTGCTACCCAATCTTCTTTGAGAGGGATTTTTGTAAGCTAGGTCCCCTTAGGATAGTTTTTTGTAACCTGAATTCTAATAGGCATGTTAATGACCCAAACCTCCTCTTGATATTTTTTCTAGATCGAACTCATACTCGAGGGATTTTGTGATTAGATTTTCATGTGGTAGTTTTTTTTTCATCCATATTTATCCTATAGAGATTTTTACAAGTGAGCCTTCATGTGATAGTTTGTTATGATCTGGATTTATCCAAAATAAATTTCTTCACCTAAACTCTTCCATAATAATGATTTATAACCTAGATTAATTTGAGAGGGGTTTTTAGTATCGAAACTTCATGGGGTTTTTGTTATGATTTGGACTTTTGCAAAAGGAGTTTTATTACCCAAACTTTTTCATGATATTTTTTTATAGCTTGGACCTTCCTATGGTATTTTGTTATAACCCAAGCTTTTGTGGAAGGGATTTGAATAACTTGTATCTCATTAGGATGTTTTTTAATAGCCCAAAATTCTTGGGGAAGGATTTTTTATGACTGAGCCTTCATGTGGTAGTTTGTTCTGATCTGCTCATCTCCAAAATAAATTCCATGACCTAAACTCTTTCACAATAATGATTTGCAACCTAGATTAATTTGAGAGAGATTTTTAGGATTGAACCTTCATGGGAGTTTTGTTATGATTTTTGGACTTTGCAAAAGGACTTTTATGACTCAAAACTTTTTCATTGTAATTTTTTGTAACCTAGACCTTGCTAGGGTAGTTTGTTGTAACCCATACTTTTATGGAAGGGATTTGAATAACCTATATCAGTTCAAGATTGAACCTTTATGAGATTTTTGTTATGATTTGGACTTCTGAAAGGACTTTTATGGAAGGGATTTGAATAACCTATGTCACTTCAATATTTTTTTTCAATAGCCCAAACTTCTCTGGGAAGGATTTGTGTAACCCAAATGCTCCTCCCATACTAGATGTAGAAGTGGTTTTTCATAAGAAAATGAACTTTTTTGCAACAGTAAAAAAACTACACTCTTTTGGTATGGATGGTGTTCCCTTACTTCAAATCATTTCATGTGGCTCTTTGAAATCTAATATAGTACATGGTAGAAGTTGGCTTTGATACGAAATGTAGTGTAGCCTAGGAGTAGTGGTGGCAGGGAGCTTTGAGGTTGATTTCATGCAGAAAGGTTGAGCGGTGAACTTGAAAGAAGGGTAGTGCCGCATGAAAGAAGTAACTTACAATAATGAAACTAGGTTTCTCATAGCTTTCACAAATGATTGAAGAGGAGAGGAAGCATGGCACAATCCAGAAAATCCTTAGAAGTTGGTTAAAAGTCCACAACGAGCCCAATTTGCATTTTTCAATCATTGTTTTGAAAAAAAGGAATACATTAGGTATTTATAAGAATGGTTTGACTTAATAGAACCAAGTTGCCTTCTAATAAACTAACAAATGCCAAACAATTGCTAATAAGAGAAAAATATATTGAAGACTTGCAAATTTGTTGAAGTCATCATTGAAGACTTGCAAATTAGTAGAAGTCATCTTATAACATTGACAAATTACTCTAATAGACACATGCTATGCAAGAATCCAAGCAGCTTTGTTATCATTTCCAGTAGCCTGATTGGTCTTATCAGGTAAAATTGTTCTCATGAACTTCCTTCCTATTATAAATTTCAAAGAAAATTCTACAGTAAAGAGATATGTCAATTTGCTTTGTTTTTTTTTTTGGATTTAGATTCTGAAATCTGTTCAACAACTCAAGTGTACATCTAACTTATGAGTGTGTCATCTTGTGGATGGTATATAGATAGTTGAATTTCCTTGGGTTTTAATTAACAGCTCATGTGGTTTAATTTTCCTTTGTTGTGATATTTGCCTTTAAGCTACCAGATGAAGCACTCAGCTAGTAAACTTTCAATGCTTTACTAGTTCTCTTCATCCTGTTAGACTCACTAAACTGGTTTTCTGTATGTTTACCTATTTCTTCTTGCAGGTTCCTTTATATTTGGATTGGGAAAAAATTGGTATCGGTCAGTCTATGTGAAATGGACAAGTCTAGTGCTTTGGAGTACATCAACCAGATGTTCCCTACTGGTGAGTTTGGTTTCTAGCTTACTCTGTTAGCATTCAATGCCATCACATGAGGGACCTCAACTTGCCAGCTGAGGGGCCACAACTTTTTTTTTTTCCTTACTTTTTGGCTGTACTTTTACAGTTTTTCTTATGTATGGATTGGCACAGCATGTACTAGCCTTCCCTCCTTTTTTCTTATTTTGTTGAGGGAGGTCTCTCTTAAGGGACTCCATACAAGTTTGCACTCACTTTTACTCTTTTAAGCTCATTAATTAATGCAAATGCAAATCTTCAAGGTGAGTTTGGTTTCATGACTGGCGTGGTTATTGCAGTTATATAATAACTTCTTCGAACTTTCTATTTTAGTGTAATAGGCTTCCTTTGAGCTTGTTAAACCCTAATTTTCTTTATGGATTCACAAAAAAATAGTAACCAAGTATAGCTTTTGTGACTATTTAAGTTGAGGTTCAGGGTAATGGTGATGATACCTTGTAAATTTGTTGTACTTTTATTCCTTGGTTATTTTTCATATTTATAGCCAAGATAATAAATTAAAGGTGCACTTGATCTAGTTGTCCATTTAGTTTCAAGACCTTTTTTACTATTGCCATGATTCTATGTAACCTAACATTTTATTATCATGAATTCAGGATGACACATAATGTCCTTTCCATCATAACTTATATTTATGATGAACACCTCATAGTTGACCTTAAATATTTAAGTTAAAGTTCTGGGTGATGGTGATTAATACCTTGTAAATTTGTTGTACTTTTATTCCTTGGTTATTTTTCATGATTATAGCCACATAATAAATTGAAGGTACACTTGATGTAGCTGTCCGTTTAGTTTCAAAACTTTATTTAGTAATGCCATGATTCTATGCAACCTAACATTTTATTATCATGTTCCGGATGACACATCATGTCCTTTCCATCATAACATTATGTACCTTTTTAGAACAAAATTATCCTTATTAATCTGTGATAGTATGTATATGTTTTTAGAAAGATAGAGAGAGTGAATGGGCTATTAGGAAGCAAAGGAGGGAAAGGAGGGTGATTGCGTCACCTTAGTGTTTTAAAAGCACCAAGGTCCATCAAGGAGATATGGTGGCCCAAGGCATGAGGTGTTAGGTGTCTAAGTTAAGTGAGGTGCTAGGTGTCTAAGTTAAGTGAGGTGCCAAAAAATTGTTATATCACTTTTAAATTTATTTAATCACGAGAAATACATTTGAAGAGTGTAAAATTAGATTTTGAGGATTAATTTGATTATTAGATTGTGACTCTTGCCTACAAGAATTGAACCAACTAGATCTAGATTTATGTAAGCACACTAGATAGAAAAGCCAAACAAGGAGAACAAAGGGCGAAACTAAACCAAACTCGATTCAAATAGTAGCAATCATCTATAACATCCAAAATCCGACGAAGAAAACTAGAAGAGAATTCAAAGAAACAAAGAAAATAAAAACAACGCTATCCTCAGACAACCGTCATAGCGGGTTCCTCACATGCATCGAAATGTAGGTTAAGTAAAATAAGTGCTTAGGGCTAGCAAACCGATGGTCCACCACTGCAAGATAGTCCAGCCATCTAATCCAAACTCCTCCAGCAAATGCTCCCAAATCAGCCAACAAACACCACCAAAGCTCAAGAAGAAGGATACAAATGGAGTGGAACTTGCGTAGAGACGAAAGAGGTAAGAAACCGAGAAGAAAGAGGAGAAGCTCGCAAGCTTTCCTAGAGGAGAAGGAGAATGGAACAAGCTCACAAGCTTTTCCAAGAAGAACCCTCAGGCCTGTAGCAAATTTGCTCTCAATATTCAACTCCATTCATTCTCAAAATATCTCATATTTTTTGGCAAGAGAGGAGAAACCAAACAGCCCAAAACCCTTCATATTCATAATTTAAATGAGGGAAATGAAAAGCCAACATCCCACTCATAATTCTACACTGGAAACAAAGCACCAAAGTCACGGAAAAAGCCCCAATAGCCACGGGAAAGCAGCCCAGGCAGAACCCGAAGAGGTAGTCGCAGGAACCAAAGAGGCCCGCACAGAACCGAGGCACCAAAGACACGGGAAGGGCACCCAGCACAGAAAACAAACATCCAACTGAGGAAAACAATGAGCCATGGCACGAAAAACAACTAGCACAGGAAGCCCAAAAATCAGCCACGGAAACTCATGGGACAAGGACAAATTTTAAAGAAGAAAAGGGGAGGAGAAGGGACAAGACCACTCCAATAATGAATCCAACTTATGAGCTTACCTTAGTAGATTAATGAGCTAACAACTTGGCAATTAAAGCTCAACACCAATGAACCACCTCCTTCCAAACATCACCATAAGCCCCAAAATCGTGAACCATAAGCCAACCCGTGAACCAGCAGCAGCCAAGGACCAATCGAGCCAGCAAACCAAAGGTCTACCAAGCCCCAAGCACAACCTACCATGATCATTGGATGCCTTCCATCATTGGATAGCTAAAAAAAAGAAAAAAGAACATAAAAACATACTAATGTTCAATATAAAATAAAAATACAGAATATTTGATAGCATCATAGATCTTGATCTAGAGAGAGAGGGAGGGTCATAGGGTGTGGGCGACTGCCAAGCTTCACTATGAGATTTTAAGTAAAATATTTAGACTTTGATTTTAGTTTGTTAGATTATTAATATTGCCATAATTGAGCAATTAACTCTAAATAGCCTACTCAACCATCAGAAAGCCGGGGGGAGGAGAAGAAATCTCCTAAACTTCTGCACAAGAGGAGGGGCGCTAAGTCGAGCAGGGGAAATTTCTCACTCGAAAATAGCGGAAGCCTCAACCCTCAGAGAGCCAGAGGGAGAGAAGAAGAGAAGGGACAATTTTTCTATATTTTCTAGCTCCCAATGTGAAATTCAATTTGTAACTGGCCTTATCCTTATTTATTTGTGATTGGCCTAGTGTCTACTTGTATAAAACTGACTTCTTAAGAACTATCTTTAGTCTAGCAATTGTGGGAAAAAGCTTTGGATTTAGACTTCCACTAATTATGAGTGTAACATTCCCAAAATAGCTAGAAACCAACTCAATGTAATCCAAGCTTGTCAATGGAACACACTTGATTTCATATGTACTGCTATTGGCAATTCCTTGGTGTGCTTTGCCTCACATGATCACATCTAATGCACATGTTAACAACACTTTTCCTCACTTTGGGGCAGCATGAAGTTGGTTAAACTTAGAAAAGAAGAGAAATCGAAAAAGAAGATTGTTTGCACAGGAAGAACCAAAGAATTTTCAAGCATTATTCCTTATTTTGTTTAGTAATTTTATTTGTTTTGATTTTGGTGCGGGGTTCATTGCATGTTTTCCCGTTTACCATCCGGTATTTGGAATATGTAATGCCTAATAAAGCATTCTGACCTTCGATATTATACCAACTCAGTACTTAACATATAAGACGGTTTTCACGGTTCTCTTGCTGCAAGCTTTCATTGTTTCACATTTGATATTTCCATGAAGCATGGACTAGCTTGGTCTTCATGCTCACAATTGTTCAAACAAGGGAATAATCTGTAATTCTTGAAAGCTTGCTGCATGTTCATCAGAAATAAGTCTTTCTTTCTTGATTTGTTGATGTTATCTCTCAGAAGCATGTTTTATTCTTGCTTTAAAAAAACATTGCAATTTTCAAATATCCAGAGGCATCATTATCTGGAGTCGAACCACTTATGCAGCAGATACAGAGTGAAATTCGTCGTGTGGATGATAGTATATTGGCTGCTGTTCGTCGACAGGTATGCTGCAACCATTCCATCTTTGCTGTTGTTTGCCCAGATGAATTGTTGCTATTTTGTTCCAGCTCTCAATTCCAAATGTGTATTTAATTTATGTATGTTTGTATACACAGAGTAACTCTGGGACAAAAGCCAAGGAGGATCTTGCTGCGGCAACAAATGCTGTTCAGGTTAGTTTTCCATCTTGGAGATTGGCTTCTAATAATGGACTAGAACTGGTATTAAATTTTGAGATGGCAATGTATACAAGTAATGATGTATTTGATGCTATTAGCATGGTAATTCTTCTCAAGAAGTTGCTATTAACGTCCACTGATATGGTTTCATGGTTTCACCTCCAAATGTAGACAGCATGGATATTGTGCTATATTGTTTGGTATTTGCGTAGCAAACAATCCACTCTCATTCTATGTTTGTTGCATTTTTGTTAGGAATTGATGCACAAGATTCATGAAATTAAGACAAAAGCGGAACAAAGTGAAACAATGGTCCAAGAAATCTGTCGTGATATCAAGAAACTTGACTTCGCGAAGAGACATATAACAACAACGATTACTGCTCTTCATCGTCTTACAATGCTTGGTTAGCATGCCTATATCTTTCATATTCAAATCCAATTACAACTCAAACTAAACCTTTCACTGTACCATAATCTTTCATTTTAAATGTAATAGCTGGTCTCAACTATAAATTGGTGTCCATGCTAAAACTATACTCCACCACTGCCTGTGGGGAGAAAACAGAATTGATGCTGAATTGTCACCAAAAATAATCTGTTCACCTACGTACAAAAATTGCTGGTCTCCATGTTGTTTAACTAAGGGCATCCAAGGGATGTCCGATAACAATATACATTCAGCGTGATAGGATGCCTTATGTTGAAATGGAATAATTCTTAGTTTTGCCCTCTTATTTTCTTTTAAATTAACATTAAGGTTGGTTTGCTAAAAAAGAAATGCAGAGTAAAAAGAATACATTTTATTTGAAATCTTTGATGTTGTTTGAATGAGTGTAAAGGAATGCATGAAATTATTATTGTTTTTGTTTAGCTTGAACTAAAGTGAATGCAGTGTAAAGTTCAAAATGGCGTTGTCGGCTGGCGGGGAGGGTGGCCCGCTGTGGCGGGAGGTGGCTGGCAGGGGTGGTGAGAAGGTAGTTTGGTTGCAGTGAAATTGGTTCACTTAATATTGAATTAGTTTAGTTTTCCTCAAAAATGAACTAGACTACTTTGCATTACATTTAGAATACTTTACACTGTATTCATTTTTTCATCAAAACAAACATCAATATATTCAAAACTCCTGTAAAAGAAATATTTTACGCACACTTTCAACAAAACAGCCAATAAGAAAATTTTCTTCATCGTTTGAGTCATCCTTTTCTACTAGATAGATGCCACCTACTAAGTTGAAATATTTTTATGTTAGTCGATACTACTTTGTTGCTTTACTTGTGTCTATGCTAGTGCTACAGGCATGGTCTACCTTCAGGCTTTTGCTAGTTATCCCATTGCCGGGCTTGAAGATTTTGCATCTCTTGTAGATTATCCTCTGTAAAATCTAACTGTGCAATTCTACATCTTGAGAAATAATAGCCTGCTTGTCCAATTAGTGGTTGGACAACAACGCACATCTTCTCTCTCTTATAAAAAGAAATCAGAAAGTGATTTTGCATATGGGTTAAGGGTTTTTTGCAACTTCATGTAATCATATTTAACTAATTTCACATGTAATTATATTGAACTAATGTCACATCATCAGTTTTTGGCATTCTATGTGCTCTGGCGAGTTCCCTATCCTCTTTCAAGAAGCACATTTTCCTTTGAATTTGCAGTCTCAGCCGTTGAGCAACTTCAAGTAATGGCCTCAAAACGTCAGTATAAGGAGGCCGCTGCACAGCTGGAGGTAAAGTGTTTATCAAGTAAATGATATTTGGTTCCTAATTGACATTTTCTTTGAGTTACTCAATTCAACTAGGAAATATTTCAAGTATTTAGTTTAAATTTTCGTCACTCTATGGATTGTTCCCTTGTGGTAGCTTTACTAATTCCCTAAACATTATGTCTTAAAGGTATTCACTAATCAAAATAATTAAATAAAAGCTGTTCACATAATTGTTTATAGTGGCTTCTATTTATATTTTGACTATTTTGCATTAATTAATATTTCTCATGCATGTCAGCATAGATTAGATATTGTCCAACCAATGCCCTCTTTCTCTTGTATGTCCAACCACGGGTAGTTTCTCTCCTTCGTTCTATCACTAATCTAACCGGCCATTTATTTCTAGTTAATATTTCTAAAATATTAAGGTGTACTTGAGGCAGGAAGTCTTATAATTTAGGATATACTAAATTAGATTTATAATGAGACGTATTAAATGAAGCTAATACATTTATATTTGTAGTTTGTAAACTCGTAATTTAGATAATCTTTTGTTACTTTAGATGAAAATAAAAAAAAAAAAACGATAAAATCTGACACATGCTAATTTAATAGTTGCTTATAAGAAATAATGCATAGAAATTTGGAGGCATGAAAGTCATATGTTTAATTGAAAATGAAGTCTTAGATTGTACCAATTTTAATGAAACTCGTTCACTCCATATTGATTACCGTAAATTTGATGCTATAAACAAGAAAAATGACGAGATCATCAAATAGTAGATTCATGCCTCATTCTAGTATAAGAAAATGACTTGTCCTGAAATTTTTACATAATTAGAAAGAATTTAAATCCAGCTATTTTTTTATTCAAAGTAGAAATCAGATCAAATGTTTTTACAGATTTAAAAAACTTTTATTTATAATCACAAGGTTCCTCATATTTGTATTCAAATTGTAGAAATAAATCATTAACTAAATTCGAATCCAACAAGTAGGAGGGAAATATTCTCACTTGAAAGTGCAAGGAGTAGGTAAACGTTGCGTATGGTTCATGGTTGATAAGTATTTCAGAGGATCCACAATAGAATGTCACATGGAGGACCACAAAAGACTTGCAAGGTAGATGCATTTGTGAGATTGCGGAAGACTCAAGATAGAGGCATGGGGGACGATCATCATGGGAGCCGCAAATTGAACTTGAGGGAATTTAGAGAATTGAATCGAAGTAAAATTAATTTGAAACAAGAAATTGAATTTGACCAAGGGATGGGGTAATGTTAGTGTCATCGTGGAAATCCTAACAAAAGGTGTTTCAAATCAATCTTCTTGGATTGGAAACTTTTGATCACAAAAAAAATGTTCAATTGATATTCAACTCATTGATCTAGGCTTAAGTGTTTCAACTCTTGTATAGATATTAGATATTGATGAATTAACATATAAAGCCTATGTTTGTCTGCTATAGAAAGTACACTTGATAAACAAGATTGGTAGTGGACAAAATTTTATCTTCGATATTATCTTTAGGAATAAAATTAACATACTAATCTTAGAATTTTACCAATGGTGTTAAATGTGAATTCTAAAGGAGGATATGAAAAAAGAGAATAATCCAATACATTAGTTATTTGTTCATGATATAATATCAAATAAGATACAATAAAAATCAAGTAATATTAATTTTTTAATATTTCTAACTTGTTAGCATTCTTCCCTATTTGTTGTATGGCTTTAGATGATTTCATCTTTCTAGTTGATAATTTCTTAAATGTTCATATAGAAAACCTTTTAGATGAATCTTTATTGTATCTCCTTAAAAAATTTCCATATGCATTGTTGATATTCAAATAGTCCCGTGTTAAAACTTTTCTGAAGGCAAATTGAATATAAAAAAGTCACTATCTTGAGTTTCACCCTATAACAAGAGCTTTATGATTTGTTTGAAGTTTTCGCATTTACGCAAGTCTTTATGGTTAATTATCCCTCTTCATTACTAGAGAACACTTTCAATTAAGGCTACTACTCAGTTCCATGATGTTTTATTTTTAGTAGGATTAATTTGAATTGTACAAAACGTGTTACCAATATTTGTTCAACATGGATGGTGGGAGGAAGGTAAGAATGATAACAAATCCAATTAAAATTTTATGGTCATGCCATCTTGGTTGTCATAGACTATGGTCACTGTAGATAGTTGACTTAGCTTTAGCTAAGGTTCTTTTAAGCAGCCATGCGATGCATTGTTTGAGGTGACTTAGTAAACCTTTGGTGGATGCTTGTTAAATAGGGCTCATTTTAAGTTGACTTTGGCTAACAAAAAGCTTCATTTCCTATCAAGTGCGCCTTATAGCTCACACAACTCACAGGCTAAATGAGTGAGGAGTATTCGAGATTTAACCATAATCATAATATATTGTTGTTGCCACATTCAAGCTAATCACCCAGTTCGAGGGAATGTGTCACATTTTTAGTGATTTTCATATATGATAATATGAATACATTTGATGTAAGCAAGTGCCCCCCCTCCCTCCCTCCCTCCCTCTTTTGTGTTTGGCCTGATTTGGGGGGCGGATGGCTGCTGTCTGCTTGGTGGTTGTTCGGTTTATGTGGTTGTCCTGATTCCCTGGCTTTCTCGGTTCCCCTGGCCTTGGCTGTTCAGTTCCAGTTGCTGTTCCATGGCTTCCCGGTTCCCCTGGCCTTGGATGTTCAGTTTCTGTTGCTGTCCCTTGGCTTTCCCGATTTCTTGGCTGTTCGGGTGGGCTTCTGCTGTGCCTTAATTGCTGCCTTTTCTTCTCTTGTTCTGGTTGGCTGTTTTGGGCGGCTGCCTTGTGTGTCTTTTGGGCTCCTTTTTCTCTATTTATAGTGATGTTTTGCTGCTGTTTATAAGGATGGAAATGTGATAATTTTTTGAAAGAAAATATGAGGGTTTTGTAATAGCTTACGAGCTATTGTCTTCTACCTCCCTCCCTCTTATATTTTGTCTTGGACTTCTTATCTATTTCTTCTCTCCATGGCAACCCTTCAATTGTATCTTTCTTCTCAAAAATATATTTAAGTTGTAATGTGTGTTTATTTTAAGTTTGTAATGTCCATGGAAAGGAAGACGTATAGTTGTTTGCAATCTTAATTTTCCTATATTTTTGGTCGCATCAATTTTGGAATATAAACTAATTACCATAAATAGAAGGAAGAAAAAGGATACGAGCTCTCAAAATGGTAAATCTACGCATCACTTTAGCAAAATAAAATGACTTGAGTGAAAATTCTTGCAGGTTAGAAAGACTTTCATCCAACCAGAAATCTGTTGGTTCAAGTAGAAATTAATTCAAATTTTTTAACATACCTGAGATCTCCCTATTTATAATCATAATATTCCTCTTAATTGCATTCAAATATCTGAATTGAATCAACAACAGTATACAAATCAACCAGCAAGGACTGAATTCCATGACTAGCAAGAAGGAAATCCTGTTACTCTAGATCAAAGTCGCTGAAGGTTTGCATGCAATAAAGATCGTGTATAAGGGTTATGAATGATTTAGGATACACTGATGCAGGACAGATCATAGAAGCATGGATGACACCACATTAGGCTCACGATGGATGAGTCACAATCTAAACCAAAGGGAATTTATGAGCTGAATTGAATCAAAGTTACCTCCAAAACAGTGAATCAAACAGGATTAGGGGAGGGAGTCACACAACTGTAATCAGCAAGACCCTAGTTGTAGTTCCACATCAATACCTCTATTTTTTTACTCCTAGCAAACTTCTCTTGTATTATTGATGTGAAACATACAACAGAATTGCAAGATTTTATCAAGAAATTTATTTTAGCAATGAATTTATAAGATTAATGTTTCACTAAGTTAGGATTTTCAGTTTTCGTAGTTATTGACTCGCTTCTAGCATGCAGTTACACGATAGATTAACAGAACGATTCAAGACAAAAACAAGATGATAGCAAGACAAATATGCAATTAACACTAATTCGACATTTAACAAATAGAACTTTCACCTTCGAGTTTCCCTTTCGCTCACTCTCTAGAAGTAGGGTTAACGGAGGAGGGATGTCAACAATCCAAGTGATGCCACTGAAAGACAGAGGAGGCCGGTGATCTTGATCAACGGGAAGTTGGCTAGAGTTGGAGAGGCGGGTGGTCGTCTTGCGTTCTTCCACTATTTTGTAGGTTGTTGCTCGTCGATGACGTCCACCAAAGTAAAGAGAATACGCTCCACGTATTCCTCGACGGTGCCTTCGGATCCAAATCCGGGATTGAAGAAAGGTGATTGAATGATGTCGATCTCCTCTCGAGAATTATAAACAAATCCGTGATCAACTTCCAGATCTGCCATCCATGAGCTTGAAAGTATCCTCATGGTTCTTTGGTGGAGCCGCCGGTTAGGTGAGGTGGAGAAGGGCGGCAGAGAGAGAGGAGAGCTGGCGGTAAGGAGGAGAGGAGAGGATAGGGGTTTGGGGTGGAAGATAGGAAAGACGAAATCTGAAATTAAATTCAGATTTTGGAGTTAATTAGTGGGAGGGAATTATGAATTTGAATTTGAATTTCAAATCCAAACTTAGGTAATGTCAAAGTGGAGAGAGAAAAGAAATAAGAGGGGTTTCAAATAAGGGGGCCGGCGGCATGCTTAGAGGAGAGGGGAGATGGGGAGGAAAATTAATGTTTCTTAATGCATTAATCCACTTTAGGCAAAGGAATAAGAATTCCAATCTAATTTAATATTAAATTAGATTTGAATTGAAAAACTTTCCTAATTTAACTTGGCTAATTTTGGAAAGTATTTGAAATTCAAATTGGATGAAAGCTTTCCAAAATCATGTAGCCTAAATTAGGTTGGTCTTGATGGTGATTAAACCGATATTAAGTGGGGAAGAAGAGGGGTGGCCGGTGGCTTGAGACGGGTGGTGGCCGGCGGGTGGGGCCGCCAAAGGAGGTTGCGGTATGGAAAAAGGGGGCTTCGGTTTTGGGAGGGGATGGGGAAATGGGAAGAGGAGGCCGGTTGGTGGAGGAATGGAATTGGTGTGAAGGTAAAAGAGAAAGAAGAAATCAAAGAACCACAAACCTAGGAATTCTTCAAGGATGACGGGTATTGCTCTCATCGCCGGTGGCTTGAGAGGGGTGGTGGCCGGCGGGTGGGGCCGCCAAAGGAGGCCGGCAGTATTGAAAAAGGGGGCTTCGGTTTTGGGCGGGGATGGGGAAATAGGAAGAGGAGGCCGGTTGGTGGAGGAATGGAATTGGTGTGGAGGTAAAAGAGAAAGAAGAAATCAAAGAACCGCGAACCTAGGAATTCATCAAGGATGACGGGTATTGCTCTCATCCTCACCTAGGGTTTCTTCTCTCAAGAACTCACAAAGAGATCTAGCAAGAAAGTGGAATTATCATTCATAATCATCATTAGAAAATAATACAATGACTAGGCCTTCATATATAGGCCTCCAAAGCACACAATGTAAAAGACACAATGATGTAAAACGTATGCATGGAACAAAAACTGCTTGGGGTTTTAATATAAGATTATTAAAACTTTGCTAGTTATAGATTTAGTGCTTACCCAAATCAGGTTCTCGGAATCATCAATTATAGACTATGTAAAGCATGCGGTTATAACTAGAATAACATGGCACTCTCAAATGAACAACATAAAATAAATAAGACAATGTTATGGTTATGAAACAAGAATCCACGGTTAACAAATAGATCTCTTCACCTTGGGTCCCTCACTCACTCTCTTGTTGGTGGCACTTTTAATGGAGGAAGATTGAGAGCAACCGAGCGATGCCACTAGGAGACAAATGGCGCCCAAAGTGTAGTCCGTTGGAGAGGTAGCCAGTAGTCCACGGGATGACTAGTGAGCATCCAACGTCCGGGAAGAATATGCTCCTCGATGGAAGGTACTAGCACAAGCAAGATGCGATTTAAGTAATCCTCCACGGAAGAATCCACGTCAAGGTTTCCGTCGAAGAAAGGGGATTCAAGGACGTTGGTTCGTCCTTGATCATCAAATAAGAAACCATGATCAACTTACGGATCGGCCATGCATGATGGTGGTGGTGGTTGGGAGAATCTCTCTTGAGCTTAGTGAGGAGGGGGTGAGGAGATAATGGGAGAAGACTTGGGAGGGTGAAGGGGTCGGCTATGGGTGGAGTTATTTTGGTTGAAACAAGTGATTTGGGGACAAAGAGAAGAGAGGGAAAATCTGAAGTTTAATTTCAGATTTTTATTAATGGGAGGCTAATTTGAAATTCAAATTAACCACAATTAGTGGATTAATGGGGGGCGGCGGTTATGGGAGAAATTTAAGGGAAAATAAATGCCGTTTAGGTGGCAAATTGAGGAGAGAGAGGGGAAGAGAGCGGCCGGCCCTATGGGGGTTTAATTTTGTGTTTAAATTAAATGAGAGTGGGGCCCATGTGATTGAATATAACAATTAATTCAAATTCTGAATTAAATTTAGATTTGATGAAGTGTAAAGAGTTTCCTAATTGAATTCTATCATTGGAGGGATTTAAAATTCAAATTTCAATTTGAATTTCAAATCTGAAATTTCCTAAATGATAGGGGAACACATTAGGGAAATAATGAAAGCTGAATTGAATTAGAGAAGTCAAAATCCATGGGCTGATTTGGAGTGGTCGGGGGTGGGGATTCCCTGGATTGGTCGAAGGGTCTAGGTGGGGGTTGGGACGGGTGGAGGAAAGGGAAAGGGTGTCCGTCGGAAGGAAGGAGGGACGGGATCTATGGTTTAACGGCAAGGGAGTGGGCTGGTGGTTCGCCGATCAAGTAGTGGGGATGGTGGGGGAAAACCGGCGGCTAGGGGAGAAGGAAAGTAGAAGAAACATAGAGAAAAACCAAGAGCTCCACCAAGGGGCTGTTGGGTATTGCTTTGAGCCTCTCCTAGGCTAATCCTCACTCGAGAACTTACAAAAGAGATCCAAAATCAAAGTTGAAATTTCATACCAATATTCATCATCTAGTACAATGCATGAGGCCTCCTATAAATAGGCCAAAAGAAACAAAAACTAAAAGACAAATGCCCTCGGGGCTACAATATCAAATGACCACCCATAAGGGTAAAACAATAAAAACTGAAAAATAAAATAAACTACTACATAAAATGACTCAAAATATAAACTCTTGATCGTGGCCATCGGTCTCCAGCGTCTCTGATGGTACACGTGTCGAAATCGCTAACGATGTCCTCATCACACAAATACCCTATGGCTACAACATGACATACATCGCTCATAGGGGTACAAAAAGAAAACTTAAAAAAAAAAGCACTAAAACATCATAAATAGAGACTATGAATCGTAGCCGTCGATCTACGATTCTGCCAATGGTAAGTATGTCGAAATCTCTGGTGGATGTCCACATCAATAATTTTGTCAAAATGGATCCTGATGTAAAAAAATTAAACCAAATTTTTTCTTTGCAACAATGGTTGTATAAATGAGACCTGATAGCGTTGGTTTCAATTTTTTTTTTATTTTTGTAACTTTGATGCGCTTTTTATGCTTTTCTTAGTTATCAATATGCCTAGACTTTTGCACAATTTCTGCATCGTTGAAAATCCTCAAAATAGCTGCAATTCATTGGAATTGGTCATTTCAACATATGAATGATTATATTATTGGTTATTTGCTTCTATTATGTATATTTCTTTAACCATTTAAGTGTCGTAACCTTCTTGTGCTTTGCTTATATTTCATTTAATCTTCTTATTGCATATTATTTTCTTTCAATATAGAGCATATCTTAGTAAAATACAGGACATGCAGTAAAATGGACATTGATAATCACAAGCATTATATGAATTTTTTTAAGCAATTTGGAATAGAACATATGGATTATGAAATGAAATTTAAATCATTATATTTATTTAATTGAAATTCATTCTTAATATAGCATATTTAGATAGATAAAGAAGTATTTCTCATAAATATGATGTATAAACACACAAAATCTGAAGTTCATGATTCATGTATTTTGTTATAACTTATAGAATATAGGAAAAGTAGAAGTTTTTTTATGTGAATATTGAATTCATATTATACGGAGTTTATCATGGTACATGTAGAAACATTGCTTTTTTTGGAAGGAATGTGTAGAGATATTCAATCCACTTTCATGCGCTATTATGTTGTTCTTCAATTGTCTCTAACAGGACTCATCTCTAATTAAGGTTTTCACTTCCTCTCCAGGCAGTAAATCAACTGTGTAGTCACTTCGAAGCTTATAGAGATGTACCAAAAATAGCAGAGCTTCGAGAGAAGTTCAAGAACATCAAAAAGATACTTAAATCACATGTATTTTCAGATTTTTCGAGGTATGGTATGATATTTGTTACTGTATGTGTAGAAGAAGTTCAGTGAAAGATGCTTATTTATATGTTGTTATGTGAAGCTTTTTTTTGTGCAATTATTCATATATTTATTTCTTAGATAGTTAAAAGTTATTGTTAACTGGTATGTAAGTTAGAGTTCATATTGAGAACATCATTTATTATTGAGAATCATGAAGTTTCCAGCTAATTTAAGATTTTCTTTCTCCATAAAATTATTTATGCTATCTCCTTCATTCTAGCATAATTAGTAGAGATTGCAAATTGAGAAAAAAAAAAGAAACAAAAAAGAAAAAAAAAAGTGAACACATTATTTACCCAAAAAATGAAAAAAATGGAGTAACTCACTTGTTCCTCACGATCACTCATGGAATCATTGTTTCGCTTATTCTTGGCCCTCATCAGCTCATCAGCTAATGCGAGTAGCTCCCCTCCTCTCCTGCTTTCCCCACTTTCCCTGCTCTCCCTCGTGTCTATCTTTCTCATGTTAAAATCGTTTTCCACTCATTCAAAAATCTCGCACTCTTGTATGCTACTTGCTAGCTGGCTCATGCTCACCCTCTCTGTTTCTTTCCAATGCCTTCGGCTCTACTCATTTATGTTGCTTCCTCTGCATTTGAAGCCCCTCAACTTCCACTTTGGTTCCCATCTTATGTCTGGCTTGCTTCTATTCCTGTTTTATACTCTACTCGCCTTCCTAATTCCTTGCCTAACTATCTCTATCATCAACTCCTGATTTTGCTCTAGCCCAAAACATTAGCTGCGATTCTTCTCCATGTTCTGTTACTCGCAACTCACTCTCTCGATGCTCAATTATTGGAGATGAATTAATTTGCATGGCTGGTTTTAGAGTCCCTCTGATGAGAAAGAAAGAAAAATGGTTCATGAATATGTCTTCGGCCCATATAATGTTTCTACAGAAACATTGAGACGATTTGAGTAAATCACAAAACTATGAAATTTGCCTCACTTGATTTTAAATTTTAAATGAGTAAGAAATTTCGATTTGTATCATTAGCAACAAAAGCTTAGGAAATAGTTTCCAAATTTGCATCATTCTACCTAGCTTGATCATTAGCAACAAAAGCTTAGGAAATAGTTTCCAAATTTGCATCATTCTGCCTAGCTTGAAAATTTTAGCTCCGAGGAATTAAATATTTTGCATTTTCCATGCCAATCTAGGCAAAATTTATGAGCTCCTTGCAAGGTAAACATGAATCATCAAAACTAAATCTATCATCCCAAGGCTTAAGAGACCCGTGATATCCAACATCAATAGCGGATGCAATCATTATATATGAAATAGCTTCTAGAACTTGATGAGTAGATCCCACCTGGTATAATATTTGATGTGAATTCACAAATATGGGATAAAACGAGAGGAATTCACATCACTGGTATTAGGTTCATGAAAGAAAGTCGAATTAAACATGTTAAAGTTTGAAATACTATTAAAATTTATTTGAATTTTCAGTTTGTAAGTATTTATCCTATTGCATTGTATGATTTGTATGGTCCTATTTTTTGTGGTTAGTTTTTAAAGTTCCCCATAATAAGCCTTTTAGGATTTAGACGTATCATTATCTTTTCATTTGATTTGAATTTTACATGGATCTTACACATCAATAGTAGACTTATAATTTTCATAATCAGTAAGTTTTTTGTGCATCTTTTGAAGAAAATCAAACATTTATGTTTATCAAATAAATTATAAATTCCTGCAATCATATGAAACAAGTAATAAAAACTAGATGTGAATATGTGTTTTAAGGGGTTCTAATTTTGACTTATAAACTTGTCCTATATAAGTAGATAATAATGAAAATTGAGAACATGTAACCATGCAACTATGACATACTTGAATGGATGAACAACCTCTTTATAGAAAATTAACCTAAAAGACTAAAAGATTACTGGTGATGATTTACATACTTTTATATTTTACTAAATTCTAAAATCCAGGTTTCTTTTATGGCCTTAATTATTTAAAAATTCTTAAAATATAGATTTAATTTCATTTTCTTCATATATCTCTCTATATGAATTTGTACTTAATGGAAACTAGTCCCTAAAAGAAAATTGATTTTAGTTGGATTGATAAAGATAATTTTGTTAGAATGTATATCAAATGGTTAAAATCATTGTTTAATTTATTCAACAATTCAAACCACACCAATGGAATGATAGTATTAGAGTGTATGTTTTCATTCTCGTTGGCAGCACCATTATAGACATGATTACACAGATGAATTAAAATTAAAACTTAATTACAAAATAGAAACAATTAGAATAGAATATTTTAAAAAATTTCAGATTACTAATTTGCTTATCTCAATGTACAATATTTGTATTTTTGACGAGCGAAAACTTTGATATGTCCGTCTCTTGATTTGCTCTTTATAGTGATTGAAGGCTGATAAACGGTAAAGACGGCTAAAAATTTCTCAAGTAAATGATATGAGGCTTTTGATGATGAAGTAAGTGATATGAGGCTTTTGATGTCGATGATGATTTGAGAGAAATAAAGTCATTATCTTACTGCTAATTTTATTTCTTAGTTCTGATATATACCTCTTGTTTACTCAAGAACATTCTCTTTGAATTGTTTAAATTTTGTAGTTTGTATTTGTGAACTTAATTTTTTTTTTTCGAAGTTTGGGAACTGGAAAAGAGACGGAAGAAACAAATTTACTGCAGCAGCTTTCAGATGCTTGCTTGGTTGTTGATGCATTGGAGCCATCCGTTAGGGAAGAGTTGGTAAAAAATTTTTGCAACAAGGAACTAACATCTTACAGGCAGATTTTTGAAGGCGCAGGTGAAATAAAATGAATAATTTTGATGTTTATGTTTTTCATAGTAATAGAATTGATTTCTTTCTTTATTTCCCCTAATATTTATGATAGTATTCATGGTGAATATGGAATAGGAGGTAAAAGTTTTATCTGATTAGTCATATTTAATTTCACAATAACCTATGATCTTGAAATAGTAAATGCATATTTTAAGAAATGAGAATATCAATTAATTATTTTGAAAAGTATAGCCACAAAAACCACTAGTTGACTTTTTTTCTTATTTAGAATTGGCAAAAAAATTTTAAGGTGATTTTAGAAGAAATTTGACTCCAGAACTTATAGTAGTTGTTGTGGATGTAGATCTTAAGAGTTCAAAGAAAAATGTTAAAATAAATTCTTGTATTGAAATTGATTTTTATGTTATGATAATTAAAAGAAAGTATTAATACCGAAGAAATAAATTTTATTGATCTTAAAATGACATATAATCTTAAAATAGAGATACATATAAGGATACGAAGATATTAAGGTGTGTTTCAAAAGTATGTAAAGTTATATGAAAATTTTCTAGTATTTGAAGTAATTGTGTAATGATCAAATGGTTTATCATTATTGATTATGCTAATGTTCAAAATTGACTCTTAATAAGGAATAGTGGAGAAAAATTATTGATGTAGTTGATCTCACGTAGTGGGATAATGGCTTGTTGTAGTAGTTGTTGTTGTATCTTTTTGGATTGGTATGGGAGACTTACAAAGATATTCAAAATAAGATGTCTGGGAATATGCTTTTCATAGATGATAATTCTAAATAGTAAAATAATGGAGAAAAAATTTAGAAGATAGGTGTTCATAATTTGTAGGACAAAGCCTCAATACTAATGTACATTTAAGCGGTCAATATTATTAATAGATACAACGATATGTAGTTTTGATCAGTTTATGTCATGGATCTACAGGACAAGGGATCTAGACGATGATATAATTTTAAGAGTTAAAGACCGAGCAATTAAAGTGAAGAATTGTTCTAGAAAAGCAATAAGATAAGTGGATAGCATGAAGACTTTAAGGTAAATTCTAACCATCCATTGAATGATTTGAATCAGATTGGTGATTAAATGATCATATAGCCTTTGCCCCACGTAGTGGGATAAAGGCTTGATGTTGTTGTTAGCTTTAATAATTTTAAAAATGATGGTCGGTTTTGATCTTGATTTTGATGATTATAATACTTAAATCCAAATGGAGGGAGAATTTATGTTTTTGTACATAGGATTGAATAACATCTTGCTGAAGTTGAATAAAATTCCTTTACGCGGGCATTAATAAATAAAACCTGGGAAAATTTTCCAAATATTATTGAAAAGCCCACATGCATTAATCTTTAGGTGATTGGTTGACTATTAGGTATGAAAATGACCCCCCCCCCCCCCCCCTCTTTTTTTTTTAAATTGAAAATCTGGGGGAAAGCCTCTTATTAATCTTATCTTCTTGAAATACTGATTTTCAAATTTTACGTCTCTTTATATATATTGCTTTTAATTTCTTTTTGTAGAACTAGCGAAGCTTGATAAGACTGAAAGGAGATATGCTTGGATAAAGAGGAGATTACGAACAAATGAGGATATCTGGAATATTTTTCCATCCGCATGGCATGTTGACTATCTGTTATGCATCCAATTTTGCAAGCTGACAAGGTTTGCCATCTTTAAGATTGCATTTACTGCTTTATTTGAATTGTATTTCTATGTCATTATATTTATAATATGGGATGGACTTAGCTATTTATTATTTACTATTAACATTATTTTTGCATCGAAACTTGGCCATTTAATTTAGTTGTTTAAGACATCAAACCTTTTACTTGCTTTTGGCAATGTTATGCATTGCTTTTCATTATAATATTGTCTATTCGATTATAATTGAGGAATTGACACCGAGTGGCTCAATGAAAATAGTCAAATCTTGCATGGGTGAATGACTGAAAAGGCTGAGAGATGAAAAGGATTTTGGAGATGATATTCCAAAAGAGGTGTGGAAATGTTTAGGAGATGAAGGAATTTCTTGGCTTGCTAAACTTTTCAATATTATTTTGAAGACTAAAAAGATTTCAGATGAGTGGAGAATGAGTGCGTTGATTCCTTTTATTAAGAATAAAGGTGAGGTGTCATACTTTAAAACTTTGGGAGGGAGTTATGGAGCATAGGTTATGACGTGATATTAATGTTTCTCAAAATCAATGTGGATTCATGCCGGGTAGGTCTACTATGGAAGCTATTCATTTATTGAGAGGGTTGATGGAGAAGTTTGGAGAGAATAAGGATGATCTACATATGATATTTATTGAGAAAAAGCATATGATAAAGTTCCAAATTATCAGGAATATGTATGGAGAGTTCTAGTAAAGAAAGGGGTTAATAATGCTTATATTCAAATTATCAGGAATATGTATGCAATAGCTGTTACTTGTGTTCAAACACAAGGTGGTTTGACGGTTTGACCTAGTATTTTACTATTTTAGTTGAATTTCATTGAGGATCAACCTTAAGCTCTTATCTTTTTACTTAGTCATGGATGTTCTCACTAGACATTTGCAAGAGGACGTACCTTGGTATATGCTTTTTGCTGATGATATTCTTTTTGTTGATAAGACTAGAGAGGGAGTTAAAGGTAAACTCGAATTATGGAGGTCAACATTAGAGTCTAAAGGTTTTCGTTTGAGTAGATCTAAAACCCAATACATGGTGTATAATTTTAGTAGTAATAAATCTAGTGGGAGGTTTGTGACTTTGAGTGATCAAGTCATTAATAAATGTACTCATTTTAGATACCTTAGACCTATTGTTCAGAGTGATGGTGAAATATATGGGGATATTATTAGTAGAATTTAAGTTGGATGGTTGAATTGGAGGAATGCTCCGGGTTTGTTGTGTGATTGGAAAGTACCACTCAAACTTAAGGGAAAATTTTATAAGATGGTGGTGAGACTTGCAATGCTTTATGTTGCAAAATGTTGGCCATTAAAAGAGAAAAATAATATTAAGTTAAGTGTTGCTGAGATGAGGATGGTTAGGTGGAATGGTGGATGAGTGGATTTACTCTTAGAGACAGGATACGAAATGAGCATATATATGAAAATGTTAGAGTATCTCCAGTGACAGATAAGATTAGAGAGAGTCACCTTAGATGGTTTGGTCATGTAAACTGGCGGCCTTCCGATGACCCTATTAAGAGAGTAGATGTATTAGATTTGGCCTATGTTAAGAAAGGTAGAGGAAGACCTAAAAAGACTTGATTAGAAAATATTAGAAATGACATTTCTTTACCAGATTTAAATGAGAATTTGATTCTTAACATGACATAATGGAGAAAAAGGATTCACGTAGCCGACCCCATATAGTGGGATAAAGGCTTGTTGTTGTTGTTGTTGTTGTGTGCATCCTTATAGTTTATTTTTCCCATTAGGGACTTTTCTCTACATGTGCTTTTCTCTCTTGGAATAAACCTTCAATATTCAATCTTATAAAAGGCAATTCAAAATGTAGTAGGTTGACGTTATGTTGACATTGTTGGAAGAGAGTAAAATCGTTGTATGTATTGATTGAGATCAGGTGTTTTTGGATAGGCATATAGGATGAATAAAAAAAAAAGAAAGAATTAAAGAAGTAAATATATATAGAAATTGAATAAAACAAATCTCCTAACGTTAATACTTTTCAGATGTATTAATTTCCGATCTAACAATTTTCCTACAATAACACCACCCTCCTCTCAAGCAAATATTACAAAGATTGGAAAAGCGGAGGTTTCAAAGCTTTGGGAAATATATTGGCTAATTTGTTCTTCACTGAATACATGAGAAGTGATTTTGTTAACAAGATTGCATCTTTGATGAGTGATGGCTGAATTCAATGTATTGGTTCTTGCAATATGGATGGATGTTTGATTGTTACAACAAAGGATCATAGGTTGTGTGATAGAAAAATGAAATTCCTTTATAAGAGTTTATCCACGTCATTTTGTAAATAGAATGTGCTATATCCTATATTTATCTCCAACACTTGGTCTAGGTATAATCGTTTGTTACTTACTTTTCCACGATACAAGGTTACGATCCTTAATATATTCATCACAGGCTGCGTCGTAAAATGTTTCCGTCATCAAATGATTATGTTTCTGATAGACTAGATCTTCTTCCGAAGATTTCTTCATATATCTTAAAATTTGTAGAGCGATCTCCTAGTATATTCTTTGGATTTTTCATTTGGTGATTTACTACCCCAATGTAAAGGATATGTTTAGTAGTGTGATCGATAAGTTTGCCAAAAAGATGTTGATAGCCTGAAGGATCTTTATATCTTTTATAGATCTCAGTGATTGTATGATTTTCATAGGAGAATCTATAGGCTTGCATTCAAGATGGTCAATTTCTTCAAGAAATTATGTAATGTTTTTTTTTTTTTGGCAATAGAAATACCTTCCTTGCAATATATAAAGTAGATATCATGAAAGTATTTTAAACTCTTTAGTTCTTTTGTGAAAAATATCTTTGTGAGATATTGTTTTACTTTAGTGATGTCAATATTTTTTTCCCAAATGAGAACGATGTCATCAATATATTCAGCTAGAGTTGTTTTGTTGGAGGAAAATTTTCAAGTGAAGATAGATTGACTAGCGGTGTTACTATGCAGTCCAATGGTAGCAAAAATCTTGTAAAGTTTGTTAAACTAGACACATAGATTTTGCTTTAATCCATATATTGCTTTTTTAAACTTGCATATTTTGTTCTCCTTGAGTAACTTTGGAAGTTAATCCTTATAATTGCTTCTATAAAAGATCCCCATAGAGGAAAATATTATTAACATTTATTTATATCAAGGCTATCTTTGATTAATGGCAACATAAAGAAGAAGACGAATGAAGTCGAGTAAGTAGTGAAAATGTCTGAAGTAGTCAATACTACAGATCTGAGTATTGCTTTTTGTCACTCTGTGTGTCTTATAGTGATCAATAGAGACAATATGATAGAACTTAATAGTGAAGATTCATTGGCAGGGAATAGGTTTAAAGTCCAACGGGATTTGGAATCAAATCTTAGTTATGATGAGCAAAAAGATAACTCATTTTATTATCTGCAGGTGCGGAGCCAGGAATTTTTTTATGTGGGGGCATAAATCTAAAAAAATCCTCAAACTTTTTCATCCGGGTTTGGGGCCGACATGTGCGGTTTTGATTTTTTTTAGATCATTAGATTTATTATAAAAATATAAAATACATGATAAAGCAAAAAAAAACTTACAATTGAGAACATCAAATTTTGAGCTTCTTCATATCTATCTATAATTTCTCTCGCGAGTCTTCATTTTTTTGAAATCATTATCCAATCAAGTCATTGTCAATACTATTAAATATATAATTTTCAATATAAGTAAACAATTGCTCAATCTGAAGAGTAATTTCTTGATTTAAACCGCGACCTTTTGAAGCTCTACCACTTTCTAGTTGCTCAATTTGTTTCAACAAACTTTATTTAAATTGTGTATTGTTGTCCTCACATAAAATTTTTTGCTCATCTCCTTCAAATTTTCTTTTCAAATACCTTTCCATATCTAATTTTAATAAAAACAAGATTTAAATTTTTATGCTTGTAACAAAAGAAGATTCTATGCTAGTCAAATGATAACTAACTAACAAATTTATCTGACTTTTACAGAGTAGTACAAAAATCCAAATTCTTTACTTCTGAAAATATTCCTGAATGCAAAAATTATGAGATTACACATTACTCTTACTTTAATAGTGACATTCCATGTTTTCCTCTAAAGAGGTAAAAATGAATCACATTCACATGACCACAATAAAGCAATCTTAAAATACATAAATTAGTAAAACACAACAACCAAATCAAAAAATTCATAAGCCTTTCAAGCTTTAAAAAAAAAATCACTGGTAAGAAATACCGTAAGATTTAGAGTTTTTATGTAGTTATTTAACAGTAAAACTAAAAAGAAGTGAAAACAGTACCTTGATGGCTTTCTTTCTCAGATGTACCAAAGAAAAGACAAGAACTTCGTCGGCGAATACAGTCATCGACTCACCGTCCTTCGTCCCGTCGCCAGCCGCCGACCTGCCGTGAACAAGAAAGCAGAGTCGATTCCACAGGCAGAGCAAGGATATTGTTTCCAGGTTGCCGGTCAATTTCCTTGTACCTTCGCTAACGACTAACCTGCTTCGGAGAATCGGAGTTCAGCCTCCAATTTTTTTCACGTGAAAGGAGGCGAAGTGAAGTCTAATCTAGAGGCGTGAAGCTTCTTCAGTCCATAAGCGTGAAAGGAGGCGAAATTATATTTTCAAATTTGCAATTCCCTAGTCACGAAGCAACTGGCGGGAACAATAAAAATATGTATTTAATGGTAATTAATTATCTATAAACAAAATTTAATTAAGCTTAAATTGAAAAGTCAGTGGGGGCCCATGCCCCCACTGCCCCCATGGTAAATCCGCCATTGTGTATCTGTAACTAGCTCTAATTAGTGTTCAACAAGGCCTACTAGTATGCCTTGGGAATAGAAATAGTAAACAACGCCAAGGCACGCCAATGAAATGAAGATGCTATTAAAGGTCACAAAGTGTTGTAGTGGATGGGTATCATATTGGCGTTTGCATTTGCAGAGAGAAATGAAAAGATGAAGATCTT